GAAAGCGGGGTCTCTGAGGCGAGGGACGGGCAGTAGATTCTGTTTTGGGGGGAGGCGATGAGTTACATGTCCAGCCTGTTGAGTCTGAGGTGCCTGTGGGACACTCACATGGACATGCCCCGTAAAGTCCTGGATACGGGGGCTCAGGCCCGGGGAGAGATCTGCCGGGGGAGGGAACTGACGCCCAGGATGCGGCGGCCCAGGAGGATATTGAATTTGACTCTGCCCACCACATGGGTGTGATTTTTTCCCCCATGGGCTTTCTGGAACAACTACTGGTCAAGCTTCTGGAGTCACTCTTCCAGGAGAGGTCCTAACCCAAGAGAAGGGACTCGCTTGCCGAACGGACTAGAGGCTGGGTTCAAACGCAGATTCCCAGGCCACGCCCCCGCCTCGTTCTGATCCACAGTGTCTGGAGGGGGTCTGGGCATCTGGGTGGTCAACCGCTCTGAGCAGGGCCACTCAGGAAGGCCTCTGCCTCCAGCTACCTGTAGGCGAGCAAAATGATTCGATAAAATATTTGTCTTATTCAAAAGCAATGCGTTTAATTGTAGCAAACAATGTGTATAAAATACAGGTGGGATTCTGGAACCAGACAGTGGTGATGGTTGCACAACCTAGCAAATATGCTAAACATACTGAAACCACTGAATTGTACATTTTTAAATGGTGAATTTTATTTATTTTTATTTCTTTATGTATTCTTTTTTTTTTTTTGAGGAAGATTAGCCCTGAGCTAACTACTGCCAATCCTCCTCTTTTTGCTGAGGAAGACTGGCCCTGAGCTAACATCCGTGCCCATCTTCCTCTACTTTATACGTGGGATGCCTACCACAGCATGACGTGCCAAGTGGTGCCACATCTGCACCCGGGATCCGAACTGGCGAACCCTGGGCCGCCGAGAAGCAGAGCGTGTGAACTTAACCGCTGTACCACCGGGCCGGCCCCTAAAATGGTGAATTTTGTTATATGAATTATATCCCAACTTTAAAAAAATACAAGGAAAAATACAGATGAGAGAAGACAATAAAATGACTTGTCATCCCACTTATCGTGATAATGACTGATATAACACTTTGGGAGTTTGTCCTTCAGACTGCTTTCTACACAGGTGTATGTGGTTGATTTGATTATTTTTTAAATTTATTCTTTTTCTTCCTTTATTATTATTATTTTTTTGGTGAGGAAGATTGGCCCTGAGTTAACATCTGTTCCAATCTTCCTCTATTTTGTATGTGGGACGCCACCACAGCATGGCTTGATGAGTGGTGTGTAGGTCTGTGCCCAGGATCGGAACCCGTGAATGCCAGGCTGCTGAAGCAGAGCGCACAAACTTTAACCACTATGCCACCAGGCCAGCCCCGTTCATTCCATTATTTTGTACACACTGGTTTATAACCTACTCTTTTATTTTGAACAGAAAACTCAACACCCTCCCTTGGGTGTCTCACAGACATCTCAAATCCAACATTTGAGTTCATGACCTTCCTCTTCAAACCTAGTTGTGCTTGGGTGGCCCCATCCTGACAAATGCACCCCTCCCCCAGGGGCTCCCGCCAGCCCCCAGGGAGCCGCCCTTGACCCCTCCCCCATCTAATCAGTCCTCTCTCTGATGCCTCTCTCCTCACTGCCCCTCCCACCCACACAGCAGCAGCAGGAGCCTCTTAAAGTGAGAATCTGCTCCTGAAACCCTGGCATGAAGTCTGGCTGCACAGGTTTCTTCGCTTCAACACCCCACTCCTGTGGCAGAAAGAACTGGAACTGCTGCTCTCAGGAGAAGGATGGGGCACCAGGGAGAGTGGATCCGAGCTCTCTGTCGGGGTGGCTCGGGCTGAGGCTTTCAGCTGATGTTGGCAGGGACACGCTTTGGGCCGAAATCCAGCTCGGGAAAGTGGGTGGGGCTGACCCCAAGGCCCAGCACCTTCCCACATGCTGTCTTCACCTCATGGGGCCGGACACTCTGCTCCCCCTGCCCGACCAGCCCCGTGCATCTCTCTCCCTCCTAAAACCTCCTGTTCTTGCCCTGACTTCCAGGACACCCGCCCACAGCCCAGGTATCTTCCTATCTTGTTGCCGACACCCACTTGTCTCCCTGACCTGTGTGTCCTGGGTCTCAGTCCTCCATCTACACTCGCTCCCCTGGTGGCTGCATCCTGCCCCAGGGCTTTAATTTCCATCGCTACCGGGATGACGCCCAGCTTACCCCTGCGGCCTGGACCTCTCCCTGGGCTCCAGGTGTCAGTATCACCCGCCCGCCCCCCACACCGGCCTCTCCACCTGGAATGTCCAGTAAGCATCTCTTCCTCACATGTCCAGAACCAGGCTCCTGCTCCTCCCGCCTCCCGTGCCATCCATCCCCACCTTAGCAAATGGAAATGCCCCTCCAACACCGCTCAGGCCAAACCCCTGCTGTCGTCCTTGACTCCCACCTTTGTCTCACAGCCCCCACCCCGCCCCATTGGCTGTCCGGCCGTCTGCTAGATCCCAACAGATCCCTGAGTCTGACCTCATCTCCCACCTCTGCCTGGCTCTCTAAGCGCCCCCTCCCTTCACCCCTGCGGGCCACCGGAGGGCCAGCGGGGCTCACCCCAGGGCCGGGGCAGCGCTTCCCCCCTTCAGGCCTTGATCAGGTAGCACCTTCTCCACGAGGCTTCGCCTGTCCTTAAGATTGTCCCACCTCCCAGCCCATCGCTTCCCACCCCCCTTCCCTGCCTTATTTTTATGTTTTCACCTCTGACATGATGTATTTTACTCATGCATCTTGTTTATTGTTTATATCGCTCTCCCCTTCACTACACTGCAAACTCCATGACAGCGGGGGCTTGTCGGTATGCCCCTGGGCCTGGCGCACAGTAGGCACTCGGGAAATATCTACTGAATGATAGTGAATCTGGGAAGCCCGCAGGAACCTCGCTGATGCCCCTCGACAGGGTTTCTGTGCATGTGCCCCCAGTGCCCTCTCCGTTCCCTTCATGGAATTTGTCACCACTGTGATTTGGGGACCATTGTGGCACAGGCAGGGGAAGTGGGGAGGTCATGGCAGCGTCCCCTGTGCCCAGCACAGCACATGGCACATGGGCAGCAGGCAAGAAGTACTTGCGGGAGGAGCACCTGGATTTTTATAGGGCTTTAACTGCCACTGCTGTCACTGTCATCCTGACCAGGCCCTGGTCCCAATGCCAGCTCCCCCTCCTCCCGGGCAGGATGCTCAGGCTGGTCTGCCCAACTGTGAGCCCCTCGCTGTGGGTCCCTCAATGGTGTCCATTCTGAGTCCGTCCTCACTGTTGGGATGTCCTGCTCCCAAGTCTGAAGCAGGTCCCTCCAACTGTGGGTCCCGCCCCAGCTCTTGGGGTCCGTGCCCTCCCGACTTCCCTTCCAGAATGAGCTCCTGCAGGCCAGCAAGTGTACCCCATCTGAAGGCTCCCTGGGGCCTGGGGCTCCATGCAGGCCGGCCAGGCCTGCAGGGAGAAAGCTGGAAGAGCAGTCTGGAGGTAGGAGGGGGCCTGTGGGGGCTGAGAAGCACTCTCAGGGGTGCTCTGTCTCCCCAGTTCCTCTGCGCTGCCAGGACCCCGAGGTCTGGACACTGTGCCAAAGTGGGGAGAAAAGGCGCCCCACCTCACCCCTGCCTGGTCCTCCATGCTCTGCCCACCTCCAGGGCCCCAGCACAGCCATCATTCCTTCCTCAGCCCTTCACTCATGCACAGACATTTGCTGAGTGGCCACTGCAGGTCAGGCACCTTCCAGGTGTTGGAGACACAACTACAGACAAGACAGGAAGCCCTGCCCTCAGGGGGTCATTAGGCTGTGACAGTAGCTAAGGAGGAAACAGATAAAGCTGGGAAGGGGACGGGAAAGGTCCCGACATGCTGACATTGTAGACAGGTGGCCAGGGAAGGCCCTGCGGGCCCCTCACCCCAATCCACTTGCTTCTGTCCATCCACGTGGAGCCCTGACCCCTGGCCTCGGCCTCAACTCCTGCCCGAGTGCCCCTGCACACGGAGGCAGAGAAGCAGAGAGCTCGAACCCCAGAGGCCCAGCTCCTTGGGGAGAGGTGGCCTCAGCTCGCAGCGGCCCTGCGCCCGGAGCCCTGTGCAAGGAAAGGAGCCCTCCCTCGGGTCCAGGCCTCCTTCCCTCCGCCGGGTTTTCTGGGCCTTGAACACGTTCCCAACCACGCCCCCTCCTCCCTCCCTCCTGGGCTTGGAGGTCACCTTCCTCCAGGCCGCGGTAGGTGCCCCCCACCACAACATGTGACATCCTGCAGAGCAGTGCCCCCCCCCCCCGCCCCCCGCGAGGGCCGGGGCTGCGCCTGTCCCGTGCAGCGGCGTGTCCCCAGCGCCCGACAATCCGTGTCGAATGAATGAATTTCGCCGGGCAGCGACTTGGCCTCATTCACGCCACATCTCCGGGGCCCTCCCCCGCCGTGGGGGGGCTGGAGGCCGGGGATGGACTCGAGGGCGGGCGGTGGGGTGACCGCCCCCTCCCGCCCCGGACGCGGCGAGGCCGGGGCAGCCCCTCCGAGCCCGGCTCCCCGCTCGCGGGCCGCCGTTCCGCGGGCGCAGGCCCGGCCGGGCGGGTGCGGGGCGGGAGGTGGCGCCGGGCGCTGAGTGGCGGCTCCGGGTCCACCCCCGGCGCGCCGGTGCGGGGGGAGGCGGGAGGCGGGGAGCGCAGGGCGGCGGCGCGAGGGAGCGCAGCAGCGAGCATGTGCCGCCGAGCCCAGTAACCAGGGACGACCGCGGCCACACGGCGGCCGCTCGGCGCCCAGCCAGCGCAGCTCCGCGCCGCGGCGCCCGGAGAGGGCGGCGGCCGCACGGCCGGGCCTGCCCAGCGGCTGCCCCGCGCCCCGGGCCCCGCGCCGCGCCCAGGGCGCCCGAGGCGCCGCCCGCCGTGCCGCGCAGCGCGCCCGACCCCGCGCCCCGGGCCGCGCGGGCACGGCGCAGACAAAGGCGCGGCCCCGGCCCGGCCAGCCCGGCCCGCCGGCCCTCCGCGCGCCCCGCCCCGGCCCGCCCCGGCCCGCGCCGGCCGAGCCGCTCCCGCTGGGCGCCCCGACGGGGTCCGGCCCGGGGCGCGGGGGCCGCGGCGCCGAGGATGGGGAAATCCAACAGCAAGTTGAAGCCTGAAGTTGTGGAGGAGCTGACCAGGAAAACCTACTGTGAGTGCGCGCGCCGGCCCCCGCCCCGCGCTCCCGGAGCTCCCTCCGCCCCCGCGCGCCCCTCCCCCACCGCGCGGTATTCCCCCCCCCCGCCCCGCCCCGAACCCCTCATCCCGGCTGCGGGCCCGCTCTCCGCCCCCATCGGCGCCGCAACCCTCCTCGGTGGTACCCTGCCCTGCCTCCGCCCCGGGCCCCTCGGAAGCCCCCGGCCGCGCCCCCAGCCCCACACCTGGCCCTATTGTTCTAGGGCACCCCCCACGACAGGGACGTGTGCTGCCTGTCAGCGTGCGTGGGGCCACCCCCGGGCCTGGAGGAAAAGCCCCAGCCCACCCACGGCCCCCTCTCTGCAGAGCTGTCGAGCAGGACAGGGGTGTGCAGGGGCCAGGGGCGGTGGTCGGGGGAGGGGGTGCCCGCTTGCGAGGTGGCTCCGGATGCGCGGAGCGACTGGCACGAGCGCAGCGGGCTGGGTGATTCATGCATCACGATGCCGCTGCTGCCGCGCCGCCAGGTTGGCCTGTCGCCCCCTCCCTGGCCCCGATCGTGTGCAGGCGGGTGGCAAGACTTGTCAGAGCTCGTGGCAGCGGCGGCGGGGAAGGGTCCTGGGCGCCCTGTTGGCTGCAGGATTTACAGGCTGAATTTTCCTCTGGCCCTGATCTCACCTCCGCCCTTCTATCTCTATCTGCCAAACTGGGAAATGGGTCTGTCCAGCCTGTGGGGGAGCTGGTCTATCTCATCGTTTCACCATCTGGGGCTCACCCGAGAGGAGGGTCTGTCCATTTCGGACTTCTCCAGATCCCTCCCAGTGTGTCTCCCTCCACTTGCTCAACTTCACAACTCTCCAGTCCCCTTGGGTCTCCAATTTTTCCATACCAGACTTCTCCCTTCCCTGCAGCTTCTTGGGAGATGCCCCAGCACACCAGGGGTTAATGGCATGGGGTCCTGACCACACAGTCTTTCTTTCTGGGGATGGGGTGGAGGACTGCCTGGTGTGGTAGTTCTCCGGCCTGGGTGTCTGACTTGCAGGGGGCAGTGTCCCTGGGCTTGGGTGGGAATTCAGGTCCCCTCCCTGGGAACTGCGTGGGTCCAGCCCCTCTGCACCCTCCCTGGAGGCAGCCGATTGACCGCCAGCCCGGTGCGCCGGTGGAGGTGGGGAGGCAGCTGCTGGTGGTGCATTGCACAAGCTCTGCTCCCCGCCCCCCACGCCGTCGGTCTTCTGGGCTCATTGGCAGGTCTGCCCAAGCCCACGCGTCAGCTCCATGCCCCTCGCCCCCATGTGCTTGGAACAAAGGGGGCTTTCCTGAGTGGGCGCTGGTCTGCTGAGGGGTACTGGCCCTTCTCCAGTAAATCCTGCCGCAAGAGCTCACGTCCCTTTTGCTGCTCCTTTAAGGAGTGAGCCTCCGAGGGCTGGGGATTCTGTCCTTGCTGTTCTTACTCTCTTTGGGAGGTGGGTGGGTGGCCCTCCCCAGTTTGGCTGTCGTTGTGTGAGATTTGCTGGGCCTTCCTTTGCACTCCATCCAGAGGTGGCCCATAGCTGTCACCAGGCAGGCTGCGGGCAGGCTTCATGGGCCCCTGTGCTTGAGGAGGGGGAGGGCACCATGAGGTTCGGCGGGATGGTGGGCATGGGCTACACTGGGGCGTCTCCATCGTGATGGAGCAGGGCAGCCACCTGTGAGCTGAACGAAGCTTTCCTCCTTATCGAGCACGTCACACGCCGAGCTCTTCGCATCCTTAGCACTCTGAATCCCAGAAACAGCCCTGTGCACGGTGTGCACTGGGACCCTCCGTATTTACCGGGGAGGAAGTTCAGGCTCAGAGAGGCGGAGCGGCGTCCCCAAGATCCCTCAGCCGATGCCTGGGCACCAGGACTTGAACTCAGAGCTCATGCGAAGTCAGCAGGGGCCTTTCTTCTGTGTGTCCCTTTCTGGTTTCTGCTATAAGCCCAGGCTGGGGGCTTCTGGATGGCAACGGGTCTGGGGTGGTCACTGTGGCCGCCCGCCTCTCTCCCGGCGGATCTGTCAACTTTGGGAGAAGTTGAGTCCACAAGGCTTTCTTGGGAGTTGGCCCTGCGGTGCTGAGCTGGGCTGGGCTGTTTTTAAAGGCCTTCGGCGACATGGAACTGTTTCCATCAGGGAGAGAGTTAGTGGGGTCCTTGTCTTCTGTGGAGCCCTTATGAGGGGAGCATTGGTGGAGCTGGCGGTGGGTTCGTTTGCCTCCTGTCTGTCTCCCTTGCTAATGTCAGCTTCCTCGTCTGTTTGGTTGTGTTGGCACTTAGTAGGCCCACAGATATTTGTTGAATGAAGAGTCTACCAGCAGGAAAAGCAGAGACAGCCTCCAGCTTGTTCTACGGCCCCAGATGAGCTTCCTTCTGACGAGGAGAGGAGCCATCTGTTCTTTGTTCGGGGGGGTCTGTGTCTGGGGTCCGGAGAAGAGCGCTTCGGAAGGACACTCAAATGTCGGAATCCTGGAGAGCCTGTTAAATGTCGCGGTCCCTGGGTCTGATCGTTCTCCCGGATTTCCGATTCTTAAGTTCTGGGCTGGGCCCAGGAATTCGCGTCCTTGACAAGTGTTTGTCTTACAGCTCTTGGTTCCCAGGAGCCCCAGCTGAAGACCCGCAGCTGGTTCTGGCGGGCCTGGCGTATGTAAGCGTCACCTGGAGTCCTAGCCCATCTCGGGTGTAGCACAGCTGGCTAGCGCCCAGAGGGAGCCCCAGATGTTCCCGCCTGCGTCAGTGCCAGCTGCCACCCTTGGTGGCGATTCTCCTGCTCCCTGGAAAAGACTGTCTTGGTGGTCCGTGCATGTGTGAGGAGGCAGAGGTCGGAAAGCTCCAGCTGTGTGGCCCTTGCTGGATGCATCTGGATTCAGCCTGGCTAAAACCCTCTGTCTTTCAGGTTTAACAAAGAAAGCAGACTTTTTCCTCCTCCGCAGATAACATTTTGTAGATCATCAGTGCCCCGTCACCCAATCCTCACACTTCCTGGCGCACTTCATATCCAGGAGCAGCGGGAGGTTCGCAAGAGGGAGGAGGCCCCCGCCCAGCCGGGACTCACCGGGCAGTGGTCAGTTTGGCCAGCAGCCTGGTTCCTCTGAGGTCTGCCCACTTTCTTCTAGCGTATTGGTGAGGCTGTTGTCATCCCTGTGTGCCCAGGCTGTGGGACAGGCCAGCCCCTCACCTAACGGAGCCTCAGTTTCCTTGTCTGCAAAATGGGTGTGCTCTTGGTACCTGACTCGGAGGGGATGTGAGCAGTCAGCAGGATGGTTCACAGCATCCTAGTACCTGGTCTCTGGTAAGGGGCCGTCCTTGATCTGCAGGACGAGCGCTTGTCAAGGATGCTTGTTAGGGATCGTCATTAATACTGTTGTTTTGACTACACAGTTCAGCTTCATCTCGAACGGGGCTTAAGTGTGGGCGAAGTTCACCTCCCCACAGAGGAAACTTCCTGCGGCTGGGTCTTTGTGCCTGGCACACAGGAGGCATAGAAAGGTGGGATCTTTGTTTTGCTCAAATCTTAGCCCATTCTCCTTTTCCCCACAGCCGTCTCCCCCTACCCTCCCTTGTTAATTTTGCAGCCACCCTGACCTGCTGTTCATTGAATGCTCACCCTGTGCTGGGCAGGGAGACAGAGATGTGAACCGGAGAGATGTCATTCCTGCCCTCGGCTGGAAACCAGCCCGGTTGTCCAAAAAACCGATCTCATAGGCTTAAGCTGTTTGTCGTGGTTTGAGCTGCATCAGTTTAAGGGCTTCTGGGCCGGCACAGCGGCCCCAGGAGGCAGAGATGCCCCCTCCCCTCCCCCTTTCTCCTCTCCCCGGGTGCTCATGGCACTCCCCAGGGACCCTCCGTCAGGACTCAGAGGTGGTCACCCCCTCCATATCACTCTTGGTCTGCCCAGGGTCTGCTTTGACCTTGCTCGCCAGCTTTGAGTGTCTTCGGCCTTTTTCCTGATGCCCAGAATGATGCCCGGCACTCGGCACCTTGTGGAGGGGAGGAGTGCTGGGTGGTCTGGGGAGCCCCGCTGGGAGTTAGGAGTCTGAGGTTGAGAGATGCTGACTGTCACCACTTGGGCTCTTGTGTTGCTCTAGCTTTGAGAAGGGTCCCTTCCTGCAGGATGAGGAATATTCTTTGAGCGTTGCTGCCCTCACTCACCTCTGTTTGACCAGAGGGGGCAAGACATCGCCTTGGGGGGAGGCAGTGTCTGGCACCCATCTTGGGACAAATGAAGGAGTTGGGATGTGGACGGCCCCACAGCCAGGCAAGGGATGAGCCACCCAGGAGAGGGACGGCCTGGAGGAAGCAGGTGGCTGCTGGCTCCCTGTCATCCTGTGTGCACAGAGGTGAGACCAGGGAGCTGGTCCCTGTCTCCACTGAAGGCGAACAGAGCAGCAGAAGAGGCATCGAGGTTGGACTCTCAATGCTAGGCGGGCATCTGGGCAAGAAACATCGTCTGTCTTTAGGAAAGAACTCCGGATCCTGGGGAATTCGGGCTCTGTGACCTTGGGCAAGTCGCTTACCCTCTCTGAGCAGCAGAATGCTCACCTATAATACCTGCCCATGTGACTCCGTGGGTCCAAATGGGACAGTGCTTTGAGGTCCAGAGCGTGGGCCGGAAAGGGAGCGGGGGCCGTTCGGCAGCAGAGTCTCGGGGAGGGAAGTAGGGCTGGGGGCCCCATGAGCAGGGCTTCACTTTCCTCCTCCCTTATGAATGAGGGAAAGTGGGCATCACGGGGGCCGCAGAGCTGGCGAGGATTCGGGGTGCCAGGCTCGAGCACATGCCGGTGCCGAGGGGTCCTTTAAACCTCTCCTGGTGGCGGCCTGGGCTGTGCGTCCTCTGCCTCCGGAGCAGGACTGCCCGGTGGGTCCACAGCCTGCCCCCTTTGTTGAGCAGAGAGAGAAGTACAGGAGGCCAGAGGGGGTCGGGGACTCAAGGAGGGGCCCAGGCTCCCTCCTCCAGCCTGTTCCGGCTCTTTCTGCCTCTTCCAGCTCCGTAAGGGTGGCCCGGCTC